GAACAGAAGAATCATAATATACCAATTCCCAGGTAAGTAGACAGGCGTCATAGAAAGAGATAGTGACGTCCAGGTGACATGCGCTGATAAAAATCGCAAAAGTAATGTGGCTTCATCCTCCGTCCATCTTTTGGGGCAATAAGTGTTCACAGCAGTCCTGTCAGGAAGCCATAAATCGGCCAGGATAAGTTGCCCCTGGAATGTACAGTATATTTTGACATTTAATATAGATACTGGGTCTACTCAAACCCTGTCTCCCAGAATATGTTTGCACATCTTTTAATTAGTTTATTTAGATTAAAATGTATCAATATACTGTAATATTATACTGCACGGTTGTAACGTATTACCCATCCATCTTCCAGCTGCTTATCTACTAGAAGATCAAGGGGTACTGGCAAGCTTCGGCAGGGAGCGACTTGGGGACACCCGGTTGGCTAACAAAAGGGGGCTTTATTGGGGCGCAAAAACAGGAAGAGAGAAGCTAAACAATCCACAAGGGGTCAAAATAGGAAGAAAATTTATAGAGTTTCTTAAGTGTTCAGATTCATTAATGAACATATTCAGCTAAAGACGGTTACCACAACTTCACCCTCTCAAATCTCAAAGTGGCAAACCTCAAGTTCAATTCAATTCAATTAAATTCAATTCAATTGTTTTTAAATTGGCGCTCAACACTGTAAAAGAGTATGAGCAAAGACTGTTAAAAGGGCTGTAAAGTGATTAATGTTTATGTTTCATGAGCAATACCATCAGAAACAATTAGTCTGTATTTTTAGTATAAAAATTAAATTCTATTACAAATCTTTGCTCATACTATTCTCCCATTGGGTTACCAAAATTAATGCAATTAAAGTTAATGCAATCAAAGAAATAATAATGAATATGTCTTTAATGCTATCGCTTTGACAGGCCTAGTTTTTTGTTTTTGAATTGTGATTAATCACACACCTTGGGGGTGGGGGTGAAGCTTACCCAAGGTGTCTACTATTGAACTAATGGGAATGACCATGGTGACTGACCAGCAGCTGAGGATTCTACTGAATGACCATGGTGACTGACCAGCGGGTGAGGATTTCGCTAAATGACCATGGTGACTGACCAGCAGCTGAGGATTTCGCTAAATGACCATGGTGACTGACCAGCGGGTGAGGATTTCGCTAAATGACCATGGTGACTGACCAGCGGGTGAGGATTCCGTTGAATGAATATAGCGACTGACCGGTGGGTGAGCATTCCGATGAGTCCTTTGAGCAGCATTGAAAACACTTAGTTCATGCACAGTGAAATGCTTCTCTGGTGCGGGGAGGATGACCTGCATCCACAGGGGGAAGTAGAGGAAGTGGGAAATTTGTGAGGGTTAAGCCCAAGTTAGTATTAGGTCTTTGTTCATGACACCCCCTTGCATTCATTGTAAACTATGCACTGCATTGAAAGGTGGACCCTTTACAGGCAACTATATAACTCTGAAAATGATTAGAAACACAGATTATTAGCTGAAGGAGGGAAGCAAAAATATATAGCACATGTATTCCTGATTAATGCCTGGTGAGCTTCTGTCTGGCTACTGAACAATGCTAATCATTACAAGACAATTAAAGCAAGTATGCTGGTTTGGCTCCCGCTCAGGTCTGTTCTGTCCGATGCCGACAACGAGGAAAGTACGAGTATGTCAAAGCCTGAAGGAGAACCAAATATGCTCAGCCGCATAGCTACCGAAAGAAGACCATGCAGGGACATGAAAAGGATCACACCCAATGTGCAGTCAAACATTTGGTAGTAATTTTTATGCACGTGTTGTAACGTGGTAACAATGCTAAATATGTTAGATGGATGAATTGTGACGCACACAGGCTCTTCTGTTAAACACAGGCTCTGCTGTTAAACACAGGCTCATGTGTAAAATCTGCTGCACAGATAAGTCAAACTGGGTTGTGCTGAGAAAAAAAAGTATATATATATATATATATATATATGATAAAAACAATTGGTAATCGTTATCTCAAGCTTAAATGAATGAAAACTGGTGGACAGTTCATAGCATCCCTAGATTCGACAATAAATGCATTGTATTGTATTGTATTGCATTATATTGTATTCTGGTCTGGTCTGGTCTAGAGCCTCCACTGCACCCATACTGTAGATGTAAGTGTGCTCTGGGAAGTAGATTTAAGGTTCAGGAATTCTACTGGAATATGTCTCCATCCCAGAAAGAACAGCTGATTGTTGTATGGGATTCCCCACTTAAACCCTTAACGGGGGTATTTAGTGAACAATAATAATAATAATAACAGTGATGCTTTATTTGCTATTTGTACAAGCAGGTTCGAGTGCTTCTAATGATTAAGATTAACTATATTGATTTCAGTAGGAAATTCTGGTGCATACAGCAACAAGAACATAGTGCACAGACAAACAGACAAGGTACAAGCACACTACACATAATACAAACACTTTTCACATATCTAATCGTGTTCTCCATCTTACACACAGATTCAAGAAAGAGTGAGGCTTGAGATTTGAGCACAGGGTCAGCCATTTATCTGAGACCCTTGGAGTAACTGAGGGCTAAGGGCCTTGCTCAGGGGACGGTAGGCAATGGTAGCATCAGTCTACTGGCCCTGGGAGTTGAACTGGTGACCTTCTGATCATGGGCACAAAGGCCTAACTGACTGAACCATATACCTCTCACCCCACATGGTCAGTAGCCTCACTCCACTGACCATGGGATTTGACCCAGCAACCTTCTGACCACAGGCACAACCCACAGGGCCACACACCACTCCTTATAGCAGTAATATTAAGTATACCTGATACCTTCAAATGGACTGGCATTCCACCCCCAGCGTCTCCTGCCCTATGTATTGGTTCCATCCTCTCGATGACCCTGCACTGACTGGAAGATGAATAGATTCCCTAGTATTCGGTAAAACCACAAAACGGGAACTTAATGCGAAACATTATAATACTTCAAGACCAAAAAGGAACACATTAGATTCTGTGTCCTTCACTGTTTTCTAGGCCGCAGAAGGGAGATGTGAAACAGCCCGATGCGGGCAGACGGAGTGGCCCTCTGCCCACTGACAATGTGCCCACTGTACTAAGCCAGGCTGCCCTCAGAACAATCGGCCACTCTAGTCAGCAGGTGCGCTACATCCAGATCGAGTCACTATTCACCCATTATCAGGAACTGATTATTTTTTCAAGGTTGGGGTGGAAGCCGGAGTTGAATCAAGGAGGCAGATTAACACCTGCACATGACACCTGTCTGTTCAATTACTGAAAAAAAGAATGATTGTAGTTAGTCAACAACAACAACAACAACAGAAATATCATCCCCAACAACAATAAAAAACGTATAATTATCTGTTGCCCTCAATAGCGACATATTTCAAACCCGGTTGAATGCCAAGGGATTTACATACAGGTGGAAACCCACTACAAAAACAATCCTTCTTTAACGGTCAGGATCTGTTTATGTGGAACAATGGTTGCCACCCATTTCACTCTATTTTACAGGACTGATATAAAGATAGAACTATCTTTAAGAACTGTATAAAAAGTTGTTTATACGTGACTATATGGCTTTATGAGTTTTACATTTAATATTAACACACACATACACTATATATAGGCCTACATACAGGTATGTACAGGAAAAATAGTGTTACATATTTATGCAACCAATGTAATGTAAGCCGTTGCGTTGTCTATGTGGCTTCAGAACCAACTTATTTGTTATAATTTTACAGTACCATAGCAGTACATATTACTATTCTTGTAAATCAATATCCACATGTATACAGTACTTTATAAAGTCCCGGTGAAACAAAACCTTGAACTGGAATCTCCTGCTTAATAGACTCGTTTACCATTAACTAAGATATAGCGGGTGGATTCAGGCAAGGCTGCGCACCTGCGCTCGGCACAAACGGGACACGGTTCGTCCTGCTCATGACGTCGACATGCTAATTAGGGAAAGCAGAACAATATCGGCGTGTAAAATCGCAGTTCACGTTTTCAGGACTGATAAGCCAGTCGATTGACAGTTTGGCACGGCGACAAGTGAAAACGTTCCATGATAAGATGCTGGCACGGCTCCTGGGGCAATCCAGGGAGGGGCAAAAGGTGTACGGGACACTATATAAGTCAGAGCTGACGATCGGTCCTGCATTCAGGTAAATACCGCCCCTCGATTTACTACTTTCGTTTGTTTCATTCGCATTCCGCTTGTGTGGCCGCGCCCGGTGTGGCTGTCTCCTCCACAGTAGCAGCATTCGTGTCTGATTTCCCTGACTCCAGGTAGGTATTTATGGGGAGTTGCGACGCTTCCCTCGGGTGTGAGGTGTAGCAGTGGCGTGTGTCCGCCTACCTGATCATTAAATTTTAATTATCGAAATAAACCGTCTTCGCTGGCTTTTAAATACCATTCATTAATCTATCGCTGGAAATGCGTACGGTAGAGCAGTGATAAGATTACGGTTAGTATTAACGTGTTGAATATCTCTTCCAGATCTTGTGTTCAAGTATGGCAGTGACGGTAGGTAATTTTAATTAATACTAATGTGAAGTATTAAGAGTGACATTAAAATGACATTTTGTTAGCTGACACAATAGGCTCAGTACTGTTGTATTACAGAGGGATATTTGGTGTGAACAGGTTGCAGAGGTTATGCATGTGCATGGGAGATGCTACACTAAGCACGTGACACAAGCACAACAAGCCACATCAATGAAAATAAATATCATGCAGTTGCATCGTTAGAGATGACTGGATGGGGGACTGAGTCTTCACTAGGGGGTGCTGATGGCAAACTTTTATATATCGGCCTAATACAAAAAGCTGTTCATGACTTAAGCCAGGGGTGTCCAGTCTTATCCGCAAAGGGCCGGTGTTCGGGTTTTCGCTGCAACTGCCTAATTAGATTACTAATTAGAGGACTGATTGGCTGAAGAGTCCTCACACCTGGGTTTGAACAGCTGACTTACAGGTTATCCCAAAAACCTGCAAACACACCGGCCCTTTGCGGATAAGATTGGACACCCCTGACTTAAGCCAATAAGTACACATTTATTTGGGAGGCTTAGAAACATTTTAGGGGAGCTAAAACCTGCCTAAAATAGGCCTAACGACACCTCTGATGTCGTGGTCCTTGAAGAGCAGCCGAGGATGCATGTTACAGTTGTTGAACGTGTTCATCCTCAGCCACAGATTCTAATAAAACTTATCAGATTCAGTACCATCATGACTTTGACCCTCAGGACCGGACCTCTCCCACCTGCACGCAGTTGGACTTAGACTTGATTGAGGAGTACCTCCGGGAGAACCAAGGAGAGGTCCTGAAGGCTGAGGAAGAGCCACCATCCACCAGTCGGGGAACAGAGGACCATCTTAATCTCAGAGGTAAGGGTGACATACAGTATTGGGATCTTGACCATTCAAAGACTGTTGAAACGAAAGATGGACATGACATGAAATACACTAAGAAACACACAAATGTCATTCCCAAATAACACCCATGTTTGTGTCCTGCTCGTTCCATGTACAGAAAGCGCTTGGCTGGGACAGGTTAACTTTGAGTGGACCTTCAGTCCAATCCCCCAGTGGACAAAGGAAGAACAGCTTGTCAGTGGTGTCAGTATTGAGGGAATGAGTCCAGTGGATACAAGGAACCAGTACCAGCGACGGGACCTGCCTGACTGTGTAAATACCTCAACTATAACATGCGCCACTGTTTTCTTCATGGTTAACCACAGGAATGTTTTTATTGGTCACTTGGAATACTCTTTGGGGCATAGTTCTCTTATAAGTGTGATGTAGGTGAATTTCCCTTTGTTTTTGTTTTTACTGGGCTACTATGCTACTGTATTTTCTGACTTTATGTTTATCACTGACTGTGCCACTCATATATATTGTATTTGAGTAAAAGTGACTTCGTAGTTCTATGCAATCGAGATGTGCTCACATTGCATATGAGCATTTGCGTGCCTGTTCTCCTCATGGGGGGGCGACTGTTTCATTTCACTTCATTTGACCTGATCAGCAGGTGCCGCTGACCAGATCCACATCGCTGGGGAGTCTCTTGTCCTGCAGCAGCAGCTCAAACAGTGACAGCGAGAGCCAGTCCGCCAGTCTGGGCTGGGACGGTGCCTCGGCCTCACCATGTGCGGACCCCGTGTGTGGCAGCCCGCCTCACGCGCCCATGGCAGGTAACCAGCATGGCCAGGGGCGCCAGTCACGTGATCTGAGCTTCATGCAATCAAAAGTCCCTCGTGGGCAGTTTCAGGGTCGTTGGTCCACAGACGGTGTTTGCTGGTGGTACACGTCCACGTTTGTGACCGCTTACATCTGGCACAAATTTTCATTAGGCTACTGTTATTTTAACATTTTCCATATTCTCACTATTCATCATTAAAACCAAATTATACAAAAGAATATGGCAAGATTACAAATCTAGGGTCCTTGTTTCTTACCCTGTACTTTGAGCACTGCTACTAGTTTATAAACTTTATTTAGCAGATGCTTTCGTCCAAAAGACCAGTAAACAGTTGTAGTTAAGGGCCTTTCCTAACTGTGACTTTACTCTTAATTTGGGTTTTGGTGATTCTTCTTCTCATGTGTAGTTCTGACCCACGTAGCTTCACACGGCCCTCTGCCAATCACACACGTGCCTCATGCTAGCCTTATTGTTGCTAACACTCTATTGCCAGTTGCAGTTACTTGTCACTGAATGAGGCTAGCATTACCATTCAAAAAACCCCAGTCATCCTAAGTGCCTTGTTAGCATACTCACACCAATGAGTATAATGGCATTACCATTCCCAGACACGCCCCCATCTCCTCACAGGTCGGAAGAAGGAGCGGCTCTTCCAGTTCCTATATGAGATGCTACAGGACCCAGGGATGCGTAATTGCATCTGGTGGGTGCACTCTGAAGACGGCACCTTCCAGTTCTCCTCCCAGAACAAAGAACTACTGGCCTACCTGTGGGGCTGGCGCAAGGGCAACCGCAAGACCATGACCTACCAGAAGATGGCGCGTGCCTTGCGCAACTACGCCCACACCGGCAAGATATGCAAGGTGAAGAGGAAACTGACATATCGGTTCGACAAGGACACGCTCAGTAGCCTGGGACACAGCATTCAGTCCTCACCTCTGTGAGGTCACATGACAGCTGTGACGTCATTGTTCAGAAGCTGAATACTACGTATTTGCAGAATGAGACAGCCGCCACAGATTTTTTACTATAATGATCTGGTCTGAGATCAGTTAGTTGATAGTTTAACTTTACAGACTTACTTTACATTAATAAAGTCATTGTGTATTTGATGCCAATTGATTTTGAAACAAATGTATAAATCTGAGGATTGTCTTATGTAATACTTAATAAGTAGCTGTTCCTTTCCCCATGGGACTCGTTTTCTGTGAGGAATATAAATATTGTGTCACTATATTGTGCCCCTTACTGCATTTGATTGTTACCATCTTTACATATGCCGTTCGGAATATGCCTTAAATGAAACGGAACAGTGGAAACTGTATAAAATTTTTCAGTGGAAACTAATGCTTCTTCTTCATGAATCTACCTGTTATTGTGGTCCTAAGTGATGTTGATTCGGTTTCCATTACAGCCACCATCCATCCATTTTATAACCTCTAATCTAGGTCAGGGTCATGGGAGGGGCAATTAGCCTAATAGCATGTCTCAGGGGTTTGAGAGGAAACCCAACCAACATGGGGAGACCAAGCTCCTCACACTCAGAGTGAGGTGTAGAGTCACCAGTAACATTAAAGCCAAAGAGTCATACAAAGTCAGTTATGCAACTGTCTTTTTTCCTTGGAGAGATTGGGTGAAGGCTGGACTCAGTCCTGGACTATCGAATTCAATGGATTTCCCAGTTCAGGGAATGTCAATCTTCTCGCCTTTGTTCTTTGTCTTTCAGAGCTTTGGTGTCACCTTCACTTTCATGTGTTGCATCACTGTACTGACTAATATCTGCATATTTTTCCATGATGTCAACAGTAGGATTCCCTATCTTATTTTCCTCCTGGTCCAAAGGTAAGTATGTCATAACTTGGTCTTTCTCAGATAGTTTGGTATGTCCTGGAGCTTTGTTTTCAGATATCAGGTTGTTCAGCTGTTGTAACATCTACAACCTGGTCTGCAGCGTCTCATACTCATGAAGTTGGGTTATCTCAGGAGGCTTCTATCCTCAATGAACCTGTGGAGTGGCAGACCGAATAATTACCTCTGCGATTTGAATTTACAGATGTGGACAAATTTGTTGGTTCACTTCCACAAAAAACAAAAAACAAAAAAAACACAACTATCTCAAATAACTTGAAACTGGCATCCCTTATTGTTTTCTCCATATATAACACAAATCACACTTTGGTTTTGATTATTGATACAGCTGAATATTTAATATAATTAAACAAATGAATATGACTTGGACAAAAAAGATGGTACCCTTAATTTAATATTTTGTGGCACCACTTTTGCTGCATTGACGACAACAACAACAACAAGCGATCTCTGTACTTCACAATGAGACGTCTGCATTTGCTAACAGGTAGTTTGGCCCACTCTTCCTGAGCAAACTGCTCAAACTGTCTCAGGTTATAGGAGCACAAATGCACATAAAATAAGTACACATTTGTGCTTTTACAAACAATCGATTGTCGCACGTATCGTTCCTAAAGGTGAATGCGTACTTGCGTACCAGTTATGTGCACCCCTGTCTATAATCTTCTTTCGGAGCTCCTCAGACAGCGCTCTCCTTTGCTTTCTCTGGTCCATGTATGGTGCACACAGTAGCATGTTCTTTCCCTTTAAATAGGCTGAATGGCTGATGAAAAGCTTGAAGGCACCTGTGATACTAATTAAGGTTAAACGCTTAGTTTGAGACATGATTATAATGCAAGGATAAATAGTCTCTTTAGGGACCAACAAATCTGTCCATACTATTTTAGCATATTTTTGTAAAATAAACAACAAATCATTTCACAGTTTTATTGGTTTACTGTATTACATGCTAATGGCATGCAGGTGTACATTAAGCAACTGCTTTGGTTCCACTTTACAATAAGACTACCCATATAAAGGGTTTATGAATGGTTTATAATCTGGCTATTAATTAGGTTGTAACACTTTGTAAATTATTAATAGACAATTTTAAACATGTTATAACACTGTTTTCTTTTTATTAATGAGTTACTACCATTTACAAGTGGCAAAAGGGAGCCTTATTGTAAAGTGGTACCTTTGATTTTAACTGAAACACTTTTTAGGAGAAATGAAATGTTCTACCGCTTTTCCGTGTCGGGTCATGGGGGCAGCAGTCTAAGCAGGTGTTGTGTCCACATACTGTTGCATCTTGTTCTGTATATGCATTGACTAGAAGCACTAGAGGGCGCTAGTGATTACTGTATGCTGGTACGAGGAGAGAAGAAGTTCAGTAAAGAGAATAATGGATCCTCTGTTCCTAACTGCGTGTGTGTGTTAATGTCTGCTGAACCACCACCACAACAGCAGGGAAACCCAGACTTCCCTCTCCCCAGCCACTTCATCCAGCTCCTCTGTGGGGATCCCGAGGCGTTCCCAGGCCAGCTGAGAGACATAGTCCCTCCAGCGTGTCCTGGGTCTTCCCCGGGGCCTTCTCCCAGTGGGACATGCCCGGAATACCTCACCAGGGAGGCGTCCAGGAGGCATCCTAATCAGATGCCCGAGCCACCTCATCTGGCTCCTCTCGATGCGGAGGAGCAGCGGCTCTACTCTGAGTCCCTCCCGAGCTCCTCTCTCTATCTCTAAGGGAGAGCCCAGCCACCCTGCGGAGGAAACTCATTTCGGCCGCATGTATTCGCAATCTCGTCCTTTCAGTCACTACCCACAGCTCGTGACCATAGGTGAGGGTAGGAACGTAGATCGACTGGTAAACCGAGAGCTTTGCCTTTTGGCTCAGCTCCTTCTTCACCATGACAAACCAATGGAGCACCCGCATCACTGCTGATGCCGCACCAATCCTCTTGTCAATCTCCCGCTCCATCCTTCCCTTGCTCGTGAACAAGACCCCGAGATACTTAAACTCCTCCACTCCTCCACCCTCTCTCCATTCTTTTTCGGGCTGAGGAGCATGGTCTCGGATTTGGAGGTGCCGATTCTCATCCCAGCCGCTTCACAATTGGGTGCGAACTGCTCCAGTGAGAGCCGAAGGTCACAGTCCGATAAAACCAACAGAACCACATCATCTGCAAAAAGCAGAGACCTAATCCTGAGGTCACCAAACCGGACACTCATGTGATTTGAAAGTCTTTTCTATTTCATTTTATTCAAATTTAAAGAACGTCCCAACTTTTCTGGAATTCCGGTTGTATAATAATAATAATAATAATAATAATAATAATAATAAAAATGGTGAAAAATACTAACAATTACAATAGATGCTTACCCACCTTCGGTGGTAGGCCCCTAATTAAACTTGAATGTAGATCAAAACAAAATCAGCTGGTTGTTTGTTCTGAAATGTTGAGCTGCTGACTCTGCATGGGAAATTGTCACTGTGCCAAGTGTGCTTCACAAAAAAATTAAGTTAGTCATTGTGGTGTGTCAGGAATTTGTTTAAGAACCACATTTCCCTTGACTGCCATAAAATGTTTTGCATAATTTACCACAAGGGGGCGTGTGAAATTAAGGTTTTCAGTTGCGCTGCGGTACATTTTATTGTTCCCTGAAATGCATAATGTTACGAAAAATTTTGGTATGTACTTCAGACAAAGAGTTGAAGTATGCACACTATACACCAGCTTTTAGCTGTGTCTAATGACACAGACTGTATTTGTGTAAGTGGGGAGAAACCACAAAAAAAGACCTCATAAATACACTGCACCTTTGGGCCTTTCAACGGTATCTAACATAAACATTGCAGTATTCTTGTGGGCTTTTATTGTATATGTTGTAGCCTTCCACTCTAAAAAAAGCTCAGCTTCAATTCAACACAAGGAAATAGTCTTGCCAAGGGGAAACTCCAGTTTGCAAACGTGGTATCCCAGCTTGATTTGGGTACCGGAATGCACCATCAGTTGTCAAGTAAAGTGAAATTAAGAAATTTTTGGTGATATGATGCTTACGCTCCTCCCCTGAACTCACAGTCACAGTTACAGTCACAGAAAAAAACCGCAGAGGATACGACAAAACCAAGACGACACCCTGGTGGTTGTGAGCTTCTCACTGATCCCGAGGCTTCTGTAGATTACTCGCTCTTGCATCTCCTCAAGGCATCCAACTGGACAACCCAAGCCAAAAGCAGCTATCTGAATCTGCTCACTGGATGCAACTGTCCTCGAAATGGCTGACCCGTCTGAGGTGCTGTACATGGTGTTTGAGGTACTGATTGCTGTGTCGTGTTGCTTAGGCAATGCCCTTGTCATCTGGGCAGTGTGGGTGAGCATGCCACGGCAAGAACCCACCTCCTGCTTCGTGTTGTCACTGGCAATGGCCGACTTCCTGGTGGGTGCAGTCAGCGTGCCCATGTCGTTGTTCGTGGACGGACATCTCCATACCTCCTTCCAAGGCTGCCTGGCAGCCTGCTGCATGGTGATGGCGCTGCCTTACAGCTCCGTACTGGCACTTTTGGCCATCGCCTCTGACCGCTTCCTGCGAGTCTGCATTCCCTACAGGTGAGCTCACTGATCACCCTATTCCTCAATCTCCTCCTCACCTTACTCTTTATCCATCTGCATTTTTTTGGACCAATACATGCCAAGATGAGATGAGATGACATGGGATGTAGCGTACTGTGCACAAGAGATCACAGAAAATGTTCAAAGCTGTTTCGTCTGGGCAGGAAGTGAAAAGCTACAGTTTAATATTAGAATATATGCAAATGAACAGTAACAATAAAAGGTCACAAGAATTTCTTCTGTTCTCCAAAAAGTTACTGATATCTTGCTGGTTGGCTAGAAAAATAATGTTTCAGTTCCCAAACTTCTCCTGAGGGGCACCATGCATTTGTTAAATTTCACCACGTCATTCATAGTTTTGCACCAACACAAAGATAGTTTCAGCAAAATTGTCTTTGGCAGCCTAAGACTTTCACACAGTACTGTATTTTATTGACCCTATGGGGAAAGTTGTTTGCAGGCAGCAGGAGAGAAAAATACAAAATCCAAACATACAAACACATGCACAAACTCAATGTGTTACTTACTTGAATAATTGTTACATAAATGAAACTTTTATTTGTGATAGGTGTAATTTTGTCACGTTTAACCAACAAACTGTGAATTACTCATTTTTCTATGTATCTGTCACGTGCTGCCGGCCATGTCCACCTGACCCTCCTGTCTCCTCCCTGCTGTGACCCTAACAAACCACACAATGACTGTTACTTGTTTGTCTTGCCTCTCGTTCTTAACCCTCGTGTTAATCACTCCCAGCTTTCTCTTGTTAGCTTCCTCGTTAGTCCTGTATATACGTGCTTCCCAGTCTTCTATTCCCCAGTCCAGTCATTGATGCTGAACCCTCCTGTTGCCAGTGCCATTGCAAATTTTCAGACTTCTCA